TTTGCGAGGCCTCAAGATGTCCAAGTCGCTGAAGAATTTCATCACGCCACTTGTAAGGAGTCTTTGAAGTGCAGGACTAAATTGAACCACCCCCCTCAGGAAGCAAGAATGCAAACAGTGTTCGGTCAGGGCCCAGCTCCTAAGGAACAAGCCTCCTCTCCAAATGGGGTTTCTTGGCTTTCTTTTTGACAGGGTGCTTTGCTGCTTAAAGTCAACCTTTTGATTTTTTGCGTTTGCCAGATTTGGCTTGTTTGTTGTCATTGAGTTTCGGGGTCGCCAGTCCCAATTGGTTCAGAGTGTTCATCAAATAGCACAAAGACTCACTTGACCAAGCCCTGTCAGCCCAGTCTTAGTTGTGCACATCACCTCATCCATGGGTCGCAATGGGTCGCAGAAGCCTGCGAGCCTGACAGCGGGCGCAGTGGGATGCTGATTGACAACTTCGAACCGTTCAAACAGTTTGGCGACCCGTCCAAGCACATACTTCAGCAACTCGTTGAACTCATCAGCATCCTAGGTAGAAATACGTCGATGAATCCATAGGCGCTTCGCCCTACTGCTAGCTTTTCCCATCTGCAGAGCACGTCATCCAGCCATCCCCTTCTGGTGCCGAGGATCCGGCAGGCGTTGCAAGTGCACTCCGCCCGACAGCTGCGGCTGATGTTCCTCATGCAGGCGGCTCCCGCCCGCCGAGGGCCAGGGCACCTCAAAAAGTGGCAAAGCGGTCGATTGCTGTTGGGTTGGATCTTTAGACTTTAACTTGTTCCGAAATCAAGGGGTTGTCCATTAAACCCGCCAAAGGCTAGAGACTTTTTGCAGAGGAGTGTTCCTGCAACCAAGAGAAGGAACTTGAAGCTGAGATGGTCTAGAGAAGGCTGGTTGCCAGTTTTTGGTCGAACTTGTGCACAAAAGACGAGCACGCATCCCGCGCAGAAAGCACAATCACAGTGTGACTTGCAAGTGAAATGCATTTTATGTCCCATACCTGTGTTGGCAATGGCCACTTGCTGAGGCGTTTAAAGCATGGCCAGGTGTTTGGCAATCATTCGAGCTTCCCCGTCCACAATGTTCTACAACGATGTTCTATGTGTGATCTTGACTGGTGTTTCTTGTTGCGCTCACAGTGCCCTGAACAGATGGCATGGCGTATTTCCTGCGATGCTCCACAGTTGCCAGGCCTGGGATAAGGGCATGAACTACTCGGACCAGGCCTCAAAGCGTGGGGTTGAATTTGTGCTTTGCCTTTGGATGGCCTTGGGCCGAAGACAAGCAGCCGCGCCCTCATTCTTCGGGCGACCATGCGAAGTGCAGATGAAGTTTTCGCGGTAGAGGCAGGTCTTAACGTTGTGTGATCTGCCCGGAATGCTAGCCCTCCTCCATTGGAGTTCTTGGGGATGGGCCCTTTGGAGAGCATCTTTGGCTTTGTCATTCTTCTGCATAGTGTGTCGTTTGGGGCACAATCCTCGGTTCGAGGTTTAGCGTTGTGTGGTTTTCCTTTCCTCGGGTCATCGTGCAGGTTCGGTGAGTGAACCAGGACAACTCCCAACCAATAAAGCCAGCAAGCCACACCACCATCACACGACCAGCCACACCACCGCTCATACCACTCCTTGGACATGTCATGTCCTTGGCCAAGTGGGTGTGTGCATGTCGCAGGCATACCTCATGCATGACAGGTGACGGCCTTTGGCTTGGGGCCAGGCACACTGCGCAGAAAGCGTGGTCTTAGCGGCCTTCCAAGAGTGGGCCACCGTCTAAGGGTTTTGGTATTACACCCTGGGAATACACCCACTGGGTATTGACCCCATTCCGGATAAATCCGTGTTGTTTTGAACCATTCTGGGTCATTTCCCAAGAAATCCAAAAACCCTGAGACGCCGGTTTCTCCAGACGATGCAAGAAGCATTTGCCGACTCGTGGTTTGTTTCCCTAAGCCATGGCATAAATTTTCGCCAGGCGATCGACATGGCAAAGGCGGAGGAGAGAAGAGCCGCAGCCCTGAAGGTTATCCGGTTAGACATGGCTGTGGGTCAAAACCAATGGTACCATTTTGAGGTAGGTGCACCGCCCATTTTAGTCTACTTTAGTGGGGATTGGGATGTTCACTGGGGGTACGCCACATCACTCCCCCCAGCTACCCCCGGCAGATCAGTGGGACCCTCATCCTTTTTCCTTCTGAGCCAAGATTCCTTGCGAGGCACCGATCTGGGCAGTTCGCTCTCGCCGCACGTGAACGTGATGCGGGAGAGGCGGGCCTGAGCCCAAACAAGTCCCCCAGGGCTCCGAGAGACAAGTTCATTGAATCCAATCCCGAGAATCACGCCCGTTCTTGGACTTATTTTGCACGGGAAGACGGTTTTGCAGGAAGGGATTGGACCGTTGAAAACAACAAGTTCAGACTGGCAACTCACTCGAGTGAGCTTGTCAACACAAACCACTCAAAAGCAACAGCAAGCTTCCACATGCACGAGCTTTCCTCGCTGATCTCAGCCTGGCTCCGCCCGCTTCAATGCATCTGGCAGCGCGATGAGCCAACCGAGCAAAGGAAAGCGATGCAAGCACTTTGAGCAAACAGGTGCCACAGGGTCTGTGTTGTTGTAAGTGTACCCTAAGGTAGATCAAAAGGGAAGCCAATAATAAAGCCACTAATCTTCGGGTCCCCTTTATTTGGACACATGCTACACATACCTGCCACGAAATCCGGGCGGCAAGCAAACCACAAGGCGAATTTCGGTGAGACCGTGCCATGGACAAGTCGAGCTTGGTCAGCTTCATCCGAGCACACCGGGGGCAGAATGCGCTTGAAGATCAGGATGTGCCCTGGCCTTTGGGGGTTGGTCCGTTGGTCCGTTGGTCTCGGCTTGCGGGGGAATTGGGGGCAAACCTAGACTGGTTGATTTTATGTTGTTCGGATTTCTCGCTAAAAGTTGGTTAAAACAGAAAGGAGTCCCCTTGTCCCAGAAGGCTCACTGGTCGCGATTGCCCACGGCTCAGGTTTCGTGCGGCACATGTGGGGTTTTTCGACCAACATGGTGGACCTCCTTTTGATAGCTGAAGGGGAACCAAGAGAAACCAATCAGCTGGGACCAGGGAAGGAGCCACATGGTTTCCCTTTCTCCGCAATCTTTTGTTCGGGACAGGTTCAAACATGGGAGCCACACCATCCACAACATGAGAAGAAAAAAAAAAACACCCTGCCCTGCCTTTCGTTTGAGGAAACCCAGCTGCGACGGATCAAGGCCTTCTTTGACGAGGCTTGGGACGCAATGTGATACACATGCATATTATTGCTTTTCGCTACGCGAGCATATGGATGTGACTATTGCATTTACTTCTGGTTGAGTTGCATGCATGATTGCTAATGCAAGCCGTTAGTTACTCCGCAACCCTGAAGTTCTGTCTCACCTGGTTCCAGGGTGCAGTTTGGAGGTGATGAAGTGGACTGGTATGAAAATAGTCGAAATGGCTAAAGGGGCTAAAGGGAATCACCGGGGAATCCATGGGTGAAG